AAGGCAGAAAAAAAGCTCCCGAGGTGTGTGAGGGGAAAATCCTAAAATTTGCTTTTTTTTTTTTTCCCAATTTTAGAAGTATTAGTCCAGAGGGAAAAGACAAAAAAATTTTCTCTTGGGGGCCATTTTTTCAGGTGGAATCACCTGGGGTTTTTTGTGTGGTTTTTTTTTTGTGTGAAAATTTCCAAAAAAAAAGGAAAAAAATTAAAAAATTTAAAAAAGGGAAGAGGAGGAGGAAAGAATCAGCAGCTCCCTCCGCTCCCTCTCCCTGCAATCCGGGATGGATTCAACTCTCCAAAATGTGGGAAGTACAAAAAAATTTTTCAGATTTAACAGCGACTTTCATCCCTAATTTTTTGCGGTTTTTTGCCGCTTTTTTGGTGTTTTTGACATTTTTCCAAGTCGCCGAGAGGTTCCTCCCTCCAACGGGAGCTGCTTGGAATCACCAGGAATTCCCGAAGCGACGACGGTGCCGGATTATTTTGCTTCTGGATGGAATTTCTGTTGGATTTTCTGGGGTTTTGTCAATTTTTTTTTTTTTTGGGGGGGGAAAAAGGGGACGATTTGAGAGGTTTTGGGGCTCTCAGTCGCCGGCCTCGTTCTCCTCCGCCGTCTCTCCCGTGGTGGCGTTTTCGGCGTTTTTGGAAGCCTGAGGGGATAAATGCCATTAAAATGTTTTTTTCATTAAAAATTCCCATTAAAACTGCTCAAAAAATTCCAGAAAAATCTGGGAATTCCCCCCAAAAAAGCGCCCTCAAAATCAGGAGATTCCTCAAAAAAAAGTGCCCTGAAAATGTGGGAATTCCCCCCAAAAATTGCCTGAAGAATCTGGGGATTCTTATAAAAAGTGCCCTGAAAAATCAGGGATTCCCAAAAAAATTCCTGAAAAATCTGGGAATTTCCCGCCAAAAACTTGGGATTTACCTTCTTTTTCTTCTTTTTCTGGGTCTTGCGGCTGGCGGAGCTTTGTAGGAGAGCCTGGAAGGGAGGGAAAGGCGAGGAGGTGGGAAAAGATCCCAAATTTGGGGGGAAAAATGGGAATTTTTGGTTCATTTTGGGTCCCTTTTCATCCCCAACTTCCACAAGTGACCCTTGAGAGGTGCTACCTTAGTATTTTTTAAAATTATCTTTTAAAATTATTTTACTTTTAAATTATTATTTTCATATTTTTATTACTTATATATATATATTTTATCATTTTTATTTTCCTATTTTCATTCTTATTAGAATTATTAAGTATAGTAATAATATAATACCAAAATAATAAATTTATAATTATGTACTTATATGTAGGAATAATATAAATATTAATAAAAATAAATAAAATTATTAATTTCTATACTAACTAGTGGTATTAATATTGCTACTATTAATATCATTATTTGTGGCTTCCTATTAATTTTTGTTTTATTGATATTCATATCCATAGTAAAACTCTGTTATAACAAACCACATCTTTTAAAATACCTATTTTGTATTAATAAATTGATAATAAATGCAAATTTACTTAAAATATAAATATATCTATAAATATCAATACATTACTTTTATGATTATATATTATAGATTACGTATTATATAATCATTAATTTATTACTTATTGATTAGCAATTAATCAATACTACTAGCTATTCCAAATGCATTTTCTATTTTATTTTGAGTAAATATAAATACTAATAAACAACTCCATAACTTCAAAAATTAAATAAATATATTTTTTATCCCATAGGTATTTTGTGTGTAAATACAAATAATTCCCTTTGATGCTGATTACGTTTTTATTAACAATTTATAATTAAAAATAGAAAATTAATATATTTTTAACCCTAGGAATATTTTATATTGGAAATAAAAATAAATCACTTGGATGTTGATACACCTGGGTATTGAATTCACCTGTTCACCTTTTTCATTAAATAATAATTATTTAATAATTATGAATAAATTTTATTTCATAATTATTACCTATTATTAATTTTAACTATCCTATTCAATCGGTGATAAATTAACCGTGTACATAAACACAATAATAACAGTAATAATAATAATAATAACAACAATAATAGTAATATTCTTTTTGATTATTAATTATTAATGATTAACAATTAACGCTAATTAACCAACCTTGAGCTCGCCGTCCTGCACCTCCAGGTCGGAGCGGTAGAGCTCGGGCTCGAAGGGGCCGCTCGTGATCCTCATGGGGCCGTTGGGCATCAGCAGCACCGTGAACTTGAACTGGGCCACCAGCTCACCTGTGGGAGCAGAGGGGTTAACCTGACAGGACCTGGGGGGCTGGAAACCCTGACAGGACCTGCCAGAGCCTGTGGGGACACAGCAGTTAATCTGACAGGACCTGGGGGAATGAAACCCCTGACAGGACCTGCGGGGACACAGGGGTTTAATCTGACAGGACCTGGGGGAATGAAACCCCTGACAGGACCTGCGGGGACACAGGGGTTTAACCTGACAGGACCTGGGGGAATGAAACCCCTGACAGGACCTGTGGGGACACAGGAGTTAATCTGACAGGACTTGAATGCCCTGACAGGACCTGTGGGGTTAACCCTGCCAGCCTCCCCAGGTCTCACCTGTCCCCACCTGTCCCCAGCTCTCATCTGTCCCCACCTGTCCCTCCAGGTCTCACCTGTCCCCCCAGCTCTCACCTGTCCCCACCTGTCCCCACCTGTCCCCAGGTCTCACCTTCCTTCTCGTAGAGGACGTTGAAGGGCTGCAGCAGCTCGTGCTTGGCGCACTCCACCACCCCCATGCGCGCCTTCTTCTCGTCCTCGAACGCCCTGCGGGGACACCGCGCACCTGAGACATCTTGGAGTACCTGAGATACCTGGGAATGCACCTGGGAGCACCTGAGACACCTGGGAGTGCACCTGGGAGTGCACCTGAGATGACCTGGGAGCACCTGGTCACACCTGAATGTACCTGGGAACACCTGGAAGCACACCTGATCACACCTGGGAGTACCTGAACGCACCTGAGAGCACACCTGAACTCACACCTGGGATCACATGAGCATACACCTGAGTGCAAACCTGAGCTCATCAGCACGTCTGAGTGCACACCTGAGTTCACTGCTCACCTGAGTGCACACCTGTGCACACCTGAGGACACACCTGTGCTCATATCTTTCACCTGACCTCACCTGGGATCACACCTGAGTTCACATCTCACCTGAGCCCACCTGATCACAGCTGAGCGCACCCCTATCTCAAATCTGAGCACACCTGAGTGCACACCTGAGCTCCCACCTGATCTTAGAACCAGTCAGAATCCTGGGGCATTCCCCATAATCCCCAGGATCCCTGACCCCATTATTCCCATGATCCCCAATCCCATTATCCCCGCTTTCCCCGTTATTCCCCCGTTTTCCCCGTTCATACCTGAGTGTGAAGGGAATGGTGTTATCCCCAGCCCCAATCCCATTATCCTGGGATCCCTGACCCCATTATCCCCGTTTGTCCCCCATTATCCCCATTATTCCCCATTTTCTCCCCGTTCCTACCTGAGTGTGAAGGGCATGGTGTCGAAGCGCCGCTCCACCTCGCTGAAAAAGGCACGGGAGGTTTTCATCTTGAGGCCGTACTGCTTCGAAGGGTCCCTCTTGTAAATCGTGGTTCTCTGCCCGGCGTCCTTCGCCTGCAAAAACCCCCCGAAAAAAATTCAGGAATTCCAGAACATTCCACGCCCCAAAATTCCCTGAAAAAAAGCCCAGAATTTTTATAGGGCCGGGCTCACCTTGCCCTCACCGCTGCTGACGAGGACGTCGACGGCGTAAACTTCGTGGACCTCGAATTCGGCTTTTTCGTGGTCCTTCCTG